CCTCTGGAGCTGTTAGATCCTCACTGGCTTCTTTGATGGACTGATTAGGTGAGTTGACTGGCTCTGTAGATGCCTCTGAAAGCTGTACGTTGATCTGATTTTCAGCATCTGGTTCTAGAGGCAAAACTTCAGGAATGCTCTCCTTCTGATTGTCATGTGCTTTAACTACTTGTGCCTCCACTAATTTCTCACCAACAGGTTCTACTTTATTTTTTTCCTGATTTGCAGGTGCCTTTGTGGTGTCAGAGGATGAGTGAAACAGTCTTCCAAAAAGTCCACCACTAGACTTTACATCAGTTTTCTTCGCATCCTTTGCTTCTACTCTTGTTGCTTTATCGTTACCAGTTGATGTGAAGAGCTTTGTCAAAGGACTCCTTCCTTTAGGCCAAGATGCCAGTTTGGTTTTTGAGTTTACTCTTGGTAGCGGCTTCTTCTGATTTCCGTTGGTTTCTCTATCATTGTTTGAACTGGTTGTTTTCAACTGGTTTTCGTTAATTTCAGGACTGACCTCCTCTACGATCACCTGTCCTGTAGGAGTTTGTGGATCACTTAGATCCTCAGATTCATATTTGTTGACTTGATCTGTTGAAACAACATCTGGTGTCTCAGACGGTTCACGCTGTCTACTATCATCTTCAGCTAAAGTGAGTACTTCTCTGTGGCTTTGACACTGAAGAGAGTCATTATCCGCCTTTGCATCTTCAAGCAGACTTGTATTATCTAATTGTGCCACCTCCTGTCTGCTTTCCATGTCAACATCAGGGTCCTGATGGTTTGGCCCGGTTGTTGGCACCTCATTGTTTTGACATGTAGTCATTTTGGGATTTTCCTCAATTTGTTGGGGTTGATTGCTTGAAGGATGCGGATTCACGTCATTTATTTCCCCCGCAGCCTTTGAGCTCTTTGGGAAAGTTTTGTTCTCTCCAGAACTGACCGGGATGGACTTGTCGCTTAAAGCCGATTCAACATTCTGAGCAAAATGTACTGATTTCCGAACTTTATTTAGAGAGGCTTTAGGTTTGTCAGAAACTGGACTGTTGCTAATTTCTGAACGGTCGATCGCTCTTGTCTGAAGTGGTCTTTGGTGTTTCACAGGTACACTTTTCGCAAAGCTGGACGAAGCATCTTTCTTTACCATTGGAGGGGTGGTGATTTGGAAATGGCCTGCTTTTGTTGGGTCTTTCACTGACACTGGTTTTTCTGAGACCCGTTTCTCAGCTGAGATCAATGTAGCTGTCTTAGCATTTCCCTTACCTCCAGTATTTATCATTTCTCTCCTGTAGTCCGATTTTTCATTCCTCCAACGCTCTGATGCACCGACATTAGCATGTTTGCCAGCATCATTCATCTTATTTTTCAGCACTGGAGCATTTGTTGGCTGTGTTGGTTGAACCCGGGTTATATTCTTCTCTGGTGGCCATTTTATTTTCAGTTTACCCTTAACATCGGCTGAACTCTTTTTTTCATGCTCGGTTATGCTTTCCTTTGTGCTCGATACCTCAACAGAAATACGTAAGTCCTTTTTGGTCATTTTAGTTGTGGTTTTGGCATCAGGTTCATCTGTCGCTTTGTTTTTGTGAAGCCAGCGGTCCTTATGCTGTATGTGTCCAAATCCTTCATCATAGTTCCCTTTTCTTTTGAACAGCTGTTGGTAGTGGGCAGTGCAGTAGAACTCACCATGAAGAGATGAATAGTTGTGAGTGCTGCATATTTAAAGGAAAAATAAATTAATTATTAGAAGTTAATTATTCTTACAATTCCAAAGATTTATTAAGAGGTAAAAAACAGAGCACATTACTGCAGGTAATGGTCGCCATTTTTACAATTAATGCTGGAAATCCACAATGGTAGCCAGTCCCGAAATTGAAAAAGGAATTTACGGAAGCCATATTAAATCAGCTAACTTTAGGTTTACGTTTTTTAGGTTAGATTTTCTCCAAAACTTTTACTGTGAGCTTTTTTTATGCCTTTGACAGAACTTTACTGCAAAAAAATAAAGGCAATCAAGTAAATGTAAATCAACGTTTACTTGATTGCATAAAGTAACGTAAATTTACTTTTAAATTTACTTTAAAAAAGTTACTGTTAAAGTTACTTTACAATTCATAAAGTAACAACTACATTTCTCCACTTTGAGATCAATAAAGTTAATCAATCAATTAAGCAAAAAAAACATCTCTACAAAGCAGTAAGAATCATTTATGTAAATAAAAAAGCATGAAATTATAATATAAATCAAAATGTAAAACTGCAGTGTATAATAATGAGAAATATTTACTGACAGAAATGTCTTATGCTTTAGCTTCATAAGCATGTTATTTATTATCATCTATGAACTGAAAGTCTCACTTTTATGTTTGCGTTGCCTTAGAAATAGCCATCTATAATTACATAGGAGCGGGTTGTGTTTGTATCAAGATAGACATCTTTATACTCCGGCAGCACAGAGCTGACTGTGGCAAGTTAGACCAGTATAAAATTTATATCCTACACAGTCTAATAAAATATTATTTATAATATTATCCATGTAAACAAAACTTTTTTTACTTGACAAGATGGGTGGAAGCCATTTTGTACCATGATGGCCTCCATATTGTTGGAGGGGGAGAAGTGGTGTGGGCAACATTGCTGCATTTTAACCATTAGAAGTTGCTGAAAATTATGCACTGTAGCTTTAAGTTTTAAGATTAAAGAAAGTTATCAAAAATATTTTGAATTTTTGGCCAAATTAACCAACTTTTAGTCCGGACTTCAGATATGTGTTATAATTAAGTATTATCAAAAGATTAGGTTAATGGCACTGTCCCTGCAGTATGGTGCATCTCAACTGAAGAGGATTTCATTGCTTTTGAGATAAAAGGAAAACATTTTACTTTAATAGATCATGTTTATTTTTCAAATGGTTTTAGCCAGAATTTATTATTCTCACCTCAGCTTTTTCTTACAGTGCTTGCAGCAGAAGCAGTTGTGGTGCAGGCTTAGCTTGTTGACCACCATCTTTTCCACCGGATACACCGGTGTTAAGCAGGCTGAACACATCTCCTTGACAGGTGCCTGGAACTGTGTTGATGAAAACAGAATTTCTTTTACAGTAACTTTATGTAGCATCTCTTGTTTTTAACTTTTTATAGCCCTTTGTCAAAACCGGACTTGCAATGTTCTGATTACAATAAAGCACTCCAACAAAGTTATAAAACAATCCACCGGACTTGGCAATGGTTTCCAAGTTTGAAGACATTTCTCCTGCCATCCAGGAAGCTTTTTCAATTTAAAATGTAAGAATTAGCGTTGAGTTTAAAGCTTTATATTGTAGCCCAAAAACTTGTTTTTGCTTAGAAATCATCCGAATTGAGCCATAAGAACGGGTCTGCTTGTTCTAGTTCTATTTGTATGTTTTCTAAGTCAAAACTTTTTTGGAATGACTATGACTTGGATGACTGAGAATCTGCACCAACATTACAATAAAGCAGTTTAATTTAGCATAAAATGGAAATAAATATATATCAACTAATGAGACAACAAAATCATGTAATTCACAAAGTTCCAACAACTGAGTCTACTAAAATCACTTTAGATGTTTTGGATGGATTTGTGACCTTTAACTTGACTTATGGGCAAATTTTAAACATTGTCATATATGGTGAGCTTGGTGATGCAAGGTTCTGGTTGATGGATCCTAGAGACAATATGAGACTAAAGTTACAGTAAAAGTACATGAGAATCTTAGGTTATCCATGACTGCTGCAGAAATGACAACTTGTCTTATTTTAACTTAGAGCTGATGAAGATTCTCAGTCATCCAGGTCATATTTATTCCGTAAAAGTAAAAAAAAAAAAAAAAATCTACTGGACTTGGTTTCCAAGATTTGAAGACGTTTCACTTCCCCTCCAGGAAGCTTTCTCAATTCAAATGTCTGGATCCGCAGTAAGTTTGAGTCTTTATATACACAAGGCCGTGTATTGCTATGGATTTTAACTTGGAGTTATGACAAAGTATTTTGTCTCTTCATAAGTACCTTCTGCTCATTGATCTTTGTCACATTAAAATTGTTTACATAATCAAACCATTTTAATATTAAACACAAATAACCAAATGCAAAATGCATTTTTTCATTAATAATTGTATTTATTAAGAGAAGTAAAGCCCTCCAAACCTTCTTGGTTGCTTTTTTGATATATTTTAGCCTAGTTCATCTTGTCAAACAGATCCTAAGTAAGTAATCTCTTGTTTATAGAGATCTGACAAGATATGGTTGGTGAAACTAAACTCAGATTTCACAATTAATTCATGATGTAACAGTATTAGATTTTTTACTTAAGACTTGGTTGCATTGTTTGTTTGTTTTTTCTACTTAATGAATAGTCAGCAACTGAGAACTGTAGATTTGGGTTTCCTCAGCTTACCGGTATATTTATCTGATGATAAAATCTGTTTAATGGTCTTAAAGGTGAAAAAATGCTATAACTGCTTTGACCTGTAAGAGGGTATATGCTCTTTCACATCACTATATTTACCATTTAAATAAAATAATGCATCTTAGGTAATGGATCTCTTGTTTTTATCTGTTTGTAAATGATTAATCTTTCTTTTTAATTGCAGGTTTGATTGTTTGATTTATAAACTTACCTTATGGTTATTAAAAAAAAACATTATTTTAGATCAAAGGGGAGCACACTAAGAAAAAATTGGAAACAACTGCTTTAAAGAATAAACTTGCCAGAGGTGCTGCTTTTTATAGTCCCCCTACACCTTTATATTGTTTTCCCACAATTCTATGATCATGTGTTTGGCTGATGTGTTAGATAATGTGCTGCGGCACTGCACAATGTTAAACAGCCTTAGCATATGCTAACCTTATTATATTTTGAGTTTATTGCAGAAAGTTTGCAAAATATGCAAACTGCATTACAATTAGCTTATTTTTATTGACATTTTTTAATTTGTTTTTGAAAACTTAACATCTAGCAAAGAGCTTAAAACAACTTACAATAATTTCAACCTTTAATTTATTTGATGATTTACACATCAGAAGTCACAAGGTTATTATTTAATAGACAAACATAATAGGTATTTTATCAGCTGGTTACAGTAAAAAAGAAACAACAATAAAATACTTAACATTTTGTTATAGTAAACTTGTTAAAACTCCTTCATGGACATAAAAGATAAACACACTTATGGAATAAAAGTCTCCCTTTGTTTGCAGGAATCTTGTCAAATTAAGTCATTCAATTACTTATTTTGTGTTGGTTGCCTGAATGTTAAAAATGCTGTTCCATCCTCTTTGGTGTTTCTTGAGGCTGTATTTTCAAACCGAAGCCCAGATCTCTGCAATAAAGGGGGGGTCATGACTTCGTACCTAGGAGGGCTTCCCACTACTTCAAATAGAGGAGATGTTTTACTGTCAGGGTGATTTGTGACAACGGTCGAAGTCATGGAAGAAACAAACACATTGCCATAGCTGTCACTCTCCTCGTATGTTTCACTGACAGTCTTGGTACCAATTATTCCAGGTTTTTGCTCTGGTAGAGTCTTCACCTCAAGCACACTGACTTTGCGTTCTGGGGTGGGTCCATTTTTTGGGGATTCAGAAACAGAGGAATTCACATCTTCCTTTGAATCATGGCAGCCATATGAAGTGCCCTTTGTGTCTGGTTTAAATGTTGACATTGGTGGTTTTTGTTGCTCAGAAGGCTTCCTTGCAGAGTGTATCGAGATGAATGATGGTGAAGACTGAGAGGAGGGCTGTCTGATAAATGGTTTTCTGCTTGCATTTTTGAGCTCTTCTGGTAAGTCTTTGCTAGAACAGGGTTTGGTCTTGCTTGACCCTATACTTATTTTCCTAATGCTATTGACTGGTTGAAAGTTTTGCTCAGATTTCAAAGATTCGTCAAAAAGTCCCGACAAACCTGCAATGTCTGCTTCAGATTTCAGGTTAGAAACAGAATACAGAGCCTTTTTGATTGTTTCTTCAATGTCAACAAGTCTGGCTAATGTCTGTTCCTTCAGCTTCATTATGTCCTTGCTAGCTTTCTCTAGATCTTCAAATGCACTTTCAACTGAAGAAATGCTTTCAAGATCATCATCCTGTAATTCTGCAACTTTCTTTTCCTCTTTTCTTACTTTATTGGCATTTCTTGGTGTAACCATCCAAACAGGGACATTGTTGTACAAAGACTTAAGGGAGCTTGCATCTACACTGCAGGGCTCTCCTTCTATCTCCTGCACTTGAGAAAGGATTCCCTTGAGTTCTTCTCGTTTCCTTAGATTGTCAAAGATTTCCATGGCTGTCTCCACATTTTCTTTCATGATCTCATCCTTGTGCACTGAAAGTCTATGCCATCTTTCCTCCTCTGTTTCCCTCACTTTCTTTTCTCGTAAGACAACCTTATCCGACATGCGCTGTTGGTTTTGTTTCTGGTCATTTGGCTGTGAATGGTTTGCTTTACCTGACATATGACTTTTGGAAGTTTCCACCTCAGTCTTTGATTGGTAACTGGGCAGGTTAGGCTTATGTTCATGGTACTGAGGCAAGTTTCTCCCTGTTTGTTTGTTGTTACAACCATTATCGTAAATCACTTTTATCCTACTTGATGACAATTCTTTCCCGTCCAAAACTTCTTTATTCTTTTTGTCAGAATTCTGTAGATCAGCCTTCAAGCTCATGTTCATGTCCTGTTTCCCGACCTCTGTATGATTCTTAATGCCCACATTGATCTCCTCAGGCGCATTTATTTTGTGGATTACATTTCTTTCTGTTTGTATTTTACCACTGTTAGACATTCTCAGATTAACTCCTGATTTACTCTCTATTGGAGGTGTTTTAAACTTTTTATCTTTCTGAATGTTTGAGTCGATTGGGATGCCTTCATTTGATAGATATGAATCTTGAGGTACTTCATCAACATCATTTTGTAATATTTCATCATCCCCTTTCCCATCTGGTGTATCTAAGGGGTGTGTATGAATATGCTGGTTTTGTTTAGGAGTAACCTGTACTTTCATGTTTCCTCCAACAGGACAGATGACTTTGGGACCAGGAGTTGGCGAGGTGTTTGCTGCTTCTATGTTGATCGATTTAATCCACTGTGGTTTTGGGGGTAAAGCTGGCTTCTGCTTGTTCAGCTTCTTGTTCTTTTCTAAGAGTGAAGATGAAGTTGCTCTTTCCAAGCTGGGTGATAAAGGATTTCCATTTGCTATGAGGTTGTTAGCTGAAATCTGTGTAGGGTTCCTTGGCTTTCCTTCACAGGTTACTGAAATTGAAGGAGATAATGTTGGGTCAGATGGAGGTAAAGGCACCATAACACACTGATTGTGAAAAGTCTTGCTCTTCTCCGAGCATGTCCTGCCTGAATCCCTGTATATCATTGCAGCTTTATAGTCTCCCTTTGATACATTTACACTAGACCTCCCAAGAGATTCCAAAGCCAACTGCACATTTCCTCTAACAACATTTTCCTTATCTAAAAACCTTGGCTCTATTGCTGCACTGTGCAGAGACCTAATGGCTGCCTTCACATCTCCTTTAATTACTTCTGCTACTTCATCTTCAGCTGTCTGGCCAATAGAATTACAACATATGTATGGCATTGATTGTTGGGCACAATTGCTTTCTAGAACTGCACTTTGTTGACAATTCTCAAAGGAAATGTTGCTTTTCTGTGCCTTCTCTGCATTACTGACCTTTGGATTAGCCTTGATTTGCTGGTATCTGGATGAGGACGAACATGTAGACTGTGTAACAGTTGAAGAGCATTCCTCTTGTGCTGAAACTCCTAGATTGTATATTTTTCCAGGAACAATGACCTCACGCTCAGCCTGCATGCTTTGCTGTTTGGCCATTTCAAGGGACTTTTTTGCTGCCCTCACATCTCCAGATACGATAACTTCCTTCTGTAGCTGGCTACCTTCATCGACAGGACCATGAGCTGATAAATCCATTTCGTAGATGGTTCCGGGTTTAATGACCTCCTTTTCCACACACATGCTTTGCTGTTTTGCACGCTCTAATGACTCCATTGTTGCCTTAATGTCTCCAGGTACAACTTCCTCTTTATCCAGGATCACAGTTTGCTTTGCAGCCAGTTGTTGCTTTGCTGAAGAAACATCTCCTGGGATTATTTCTTCTTTAGGAATACAGTTATCAACACTGAAAAAGGACTCAGACGAGAAAACTTTTTTGGTGTTTTTTACATCTCCTGGTAACACATCACAAACGGTTCTTTCAACCTGTTCTTTTTGTTGACAGAGGCTTTTCTTTGCTTCACGCACACTCCCCTGTACTGCTTCAACTTGCTCCTTCATTGTAAGTCCAGGAACAACTTCACATTCAGGTTCATCAGTATGAAGACTCTTCAAAAACTGGAGATCTCCCTTTTCGATGCAGCTTTTGTACAAATTCACATTTCCCTTCTCATTTTCATCCACTCTACACAATGTTGTGGCTCTCTGACTATTGGCAGTTGCTAAAAGATTTCCAATTGTAGTCTTAACATCACCCCTTTCCATTGCATTACCCTCAGTTTTCATGTCATTGCTGCAGATAAGTGAATAGACTGACATTTCTCCTTTTTCCTCTCCAGCCTCTTGCATTATGATTCCTTTTTTGAAATTTGTATCTTGAATGAGGAAGTCATCTATTCTCTTAGCAATGTTCTGTATTCTTTGATCACTCTCAATGTTGGCAGTCACTGTTGACATCAAAACTGGAAGCTCCAATATTGTGGTGTTAATTTGGCCTTTTTCAACTTCTCTCAGAAGAGTAACTTGTGGCATGATTGTTGGTTTGAGCAGGAGTTGCAACATGATGTTTCTAATGTTGCCAGGGACAATGTCCTCTTTCTGAATCTCCACAGCTTTGCTGCATTCAAGGAGATATTTTGCCATATTAACATGACTTATTTCGTTTGCTTCTATTATTATGCCACTGGAGTGCACACATTTCATTTCATGCAAGTAGGAAAGGGTCTCGGCAACACTTTTTGCCGTGATTTTGTCCAGTGGTGTGGTCTCAAACAGCCATGTGGTACACTTCACATCAGCTTTGGGTATCTCTTCAATAGCTTGCTCCGAAGTGTCTTCAGACTCCTTGATCTTGTCCAGTGGTTGAGATTCAAACAGCCAAGTGCAGCGCTTCACGTCTCCCTTCTGACTGTCTTGTCTGTAGACAGTTTTAGCTGGACTCTGCTCTTCAGTTTCCCCTTTCAGACTGTCGAGGGTCTGATTCTCAAAGAGCCAGGTGGAGGTCCTGACATCCCCACGCTGCACATCGGTGACACTAACCATTCTAAAAAGCCTCTTGCTTGATTGGTCAGATTCAAATATCTTTCTGTTTTCCTGGACACTGCTGCTTTCAAAGTCATCACTAACACAAACAGAAGGTTTGTCTCGATCAGTGAGGGAATCCAGAGGTTGTGTCTCAAACTTCCATCTGGCTGATTTCACATCCCCTTTCTTAACATCTTCTTGTGTCACAGCTCGAATCACATAAACTTCATTTTCTGCCTTGATGGCATCGAGTGGTTTTGTCTCAAACATCCACCTTGCCCCTCTCACATCACCACTCATTACCTCTTCTTTTTTGACAGTGGTCACCTCATGAAACTGGCCTTCTTTGTCTCTGATGGCATAAAGTGGCAGGGATTCAAACATCATGGTGCTAGACTTCACATCAACATTGCCCATTTGATTTTCCACAGACACTGACTTCTCCTGGAGTGGTTCCTTTTGGATTTTGTCCAATGAGGAGGTTTCAAAGACAAAACTTTTGTTTTGTACATCACCAGTCTCAAGAACTCCAACTCTTTCCAGGCTAAGTCCATCTTCATCTTGATCTTTATTAATCTGGCTCATGGGACAGTTCTCAAACATCCATGTTACTTTATGCACCGCACCTTTTTCAATGTCTTCACCTTGATTTTTCCCGTCAGATGTTGGCATAATTTCAGACCCTATTTCATCAAGTGATTGGGACTCAAAAAGTTCTTTGACACGTGACACATCTCCCGATTGAAAGTTGACCTGGCTGATGCACCTCAAGTTGGGTTCTGCATCTGAGTATTTTCTCATTCCATCCAAAGTCTCTGTTTCAAACAAATGTTTCACTGTTTGAACAGCAACCTCTGGTTTGATAGAGTCCTTTTTGGTGCTGCACAACCTCAAACTGTATGGTTCACCATCTCTTATGCTGTCCAAGGGTTGCGACTCAAAAAGCCAAGTCATAGACTTGACATCAGCCTCAATGGAGTCTTTATCCTTGGATGTTTCCGTTTTACTGTACAGCATATCCATTGGTTGTGTCTCAAATAACCATTTACAACTCTTGACATCCCCTTTGCAAGGTTCATTTTCAGCTGAAGAGCTTTGTTCTGTTTGATTAAACTTATAATGAATTCCATCAATGGTCTGAGTTTCAAAAAGCCATTTTGCTGTCTTTACATCACCTGTGGTGTCCTCCTGTCTTGTGATGCCTTTGATAACCTCAACATCTTTTCCATCTGTCAGCTGATCTAAAGGCTTGGTCTCAAACATCCACTTGTAGTTTTTGACTTTCCCCTTGATGAATTCCTCTCGGCTGACTGTTGTGACCGCATGAAGGTTTCCAGAGCTGTCCTTGATTGCATATAGGGGGTTGGTTTCCATCTCTGCCTTGTTACCTAGAACTGTTTTCTGCCTCTCAGCTATGTCCCCATCAAACTGGGTAATTCTACTTAAGGGGATTGTCTCAAAAAGTTGTTTGAATCCCTTTACATCGCCCTTTTCAATCTCTTGTTCTCTAAAGGAGTTTGTCTTCTGAAAGCTGCCATTTTCAAACATTAGTCTTTTTCCTTTTACTTCCCCTTGTTCTTCAGCTGAAAGAGTGATTTTCTTCAGACGTCCTACTTCATAGGTATCACTTATTGCCTCCATGGGCTGAGTTTCAAACAGCCACATGGAAGATTTGACATCTCCTCCAATTATTCTTTCTTGCTCCAGTCTGTCTTTATTGACAACATCAGACCCCCCTGAGCTGTCGGTGAATATTCCTTCAAATGTGTTTACTCCTGCATCTTCTTTTATTGCGTCGATTGACTGAGTTTCAAAAATCCACCTTTTCTGGTCAACACCCCCTCTATGCCCCTCCTCCAGAGATATACCCCGGATTATTTTCACTTCATCACTTCCTTTATTTATCATGTCCAATGGCTTGGTTTCAAAAAGCCAGCGGGCAGTACTGAGTTTGCCACTGTTGATTTCCTCCCTGCAGATAGATTTAATCTCATGGATACTACCATTCTTGTCTCTGATGGCACAGCAGGGTTCTGTCTCGAATAGTTTTACAGTTTTTCTGACATCTCCTTTCTGCTCTTGAAGCTCCGATTTCAGTTTCAGGACGCTACAATCTTCGATAGAATTGCATCGGCCTAAGTCACTCAGTGGTTTGGACTCAAAGAGTAACCTGGTCCCTCTTACATCACCAGGCTGTATTGGTTCTTTTAGGAGTGCCTCTACCAGTTCGGCTTCTCCACTTTTGGCTCTACTAATGGAATCTAATGGCTGGGTTTCAAACAACCATGTTGATGTTCTCACATCCCCTCTGACAGACATCTGTCTTTGTGCTGGTATGTGCTGCTTGCTGTCAATGGGCTCAAACATTGTAGAGGTGCTTCTAACATCTCCACCTTTTAGCTCCTCCATATCCAACAGTTTTTTTGTTTCATGAGGATCTCCAATATTGTCAAGAGTCCAGTTTTCAAAGATCCATCTCATAGACTGAACTTCTCCCTGATAAGCTGCGTCTGCTGCCTCAGTGGACTCTGACTGCACTGCTTTCAGTATCTCATCATCAACAGCATCATCGAGACTTGCTCGCAGGTCAGGGTGAATGTGTTTAAAGAGCCTCTTTAGCTCACTTTTATTCCGTTGCTGGTAGAACGTGGAGAATGTTTCTTTAGGTGGAGGCACAGGGAGGCTACTTAGAGACATTGGTCCTTCATACTCAAAGGGTCTAGGTTGTACAGGAGGAGGCGGGGGAGGAGGTAAGTCGTATTCATCACTGAATGGTTGTGAAACAGTGATTTTCCTTTCTGCGTCATCCATCTTAAAATACAGAAAAGATAAAGAAAATGCTATGAGAATATTACCTTAAAAATTATAATTTTAAAATATGCATACATATGGAAAGTTATGTAAGCCATACTTTACCTTTTACTATGTTCATGTGTAGTTTTTTTTTTTCACAGCAAACCATCTTCTATCACACCAAAGTTTAAAGAAGACTTACAGTTGTTAGTAAGCACATTTCACACCCACACACCCTGAATCAAACGTTAAAAAGGGCTTACAGTGATATAGTGTGTTGCTTTGTTTTACATTTAAGCCCCAAATGACTCATGGCTCGGACAAAATTATTATTTCAGTAATTGTTTAATTCAAAAAACCTGTTTGATGTGACTGAAACTAAAATGTATGTTTTGGAGCAATCCTGTCAAATACCCAGCTTGAATCTGATCAAGAATCTCTAGAGGGAGTATAGATTAGGTTAATGGCACAAGGCATTTCAACCTGAAAGAGTTGAAGTACATTACCAAAGATAAAATACCAGTAGATGCTGACTGAAAATTTGTGAATGTTTGTGTAAAATGTTAATGTAATGCACAATAATGCAAAATAGCATTATTGTGCATTATATTAGTTTAGGTTTAATATGTCAAACAGCACACATTAGTAAGGAAGCACACTAATGCAAAAGAGACGCAAATTTTACAACAAATTACCTTGCTTTTTGACTTTGCTCGTAGAGTTCCTCTAAACTCCTGCAAAAAAAAAATAAATAATAAATAATAATTCAGGCAAAACCAGTAAAATACAATAAATTTGATCAGGAAATCTGTTTCAAACCATTGGGTTGTTCTAATATGTTCTTATATGAGGGGAATGAAAAGCATCTCAGGAACTCACTGGCTGTTTGGAGACTTCCACTGAGTCGATGGTCGCTGTTCTTGACAGATATAGAGCTAGTCTGTCTTTAAACGACGATGACGTAGATATCCTGTCTCTGGTTTGTCCTACTGAAGTACCTCCTTTGCTTAGTGTTGAATTATATTTGTTATCTGTAGAGAAAAACATACAAAATTAATGAAAAAAAGTTATTTAAACATTGTATGGATTAATGTCTTCTGTCTAGGTTTGATGTAATCTAGTATAAAAGTTTGATAAATGTAGGGCAACACCAGATTGTGTGAGTGGTCTGTTGAATGTTTCGTGATAACCAGTTGTATTTTTAGATACCCTAGGTGCATCTATTCATGGTGACAATGGTATCCATCTTATAGCTGCTGCAGCTTCAGGTTACTGTAACTCACAAAAGCTTGTGGATTTACATCATGAAAGTATGAAAAATGTGCAAACAAATGAGCCTGTAAAGACTTTGATCCTAAATAGGCAGGACCACGTTCCTCCTGCCTGAAACCCTTACCAGTCTGCATACCATGGACTATCTATGAAAGTCAGGGGGGACAAAAAGTAACAACTGCTAGCTCAGCTGGAGTGACCCAGAATGTTTGCACATTTTTTGTGTGAACTATCTGCTGTCAAACCTTCAACACCTGACCAGTGGAATGCAATGGCATGACCTTGCAAAAATCCTGAAACGACACCTTTTTTTTTTTTTTTTTCCACATGGAAATATAAATATAATTTAGCTTACAATGTTACCATTTTTGGTTTGACAACAGCTATCAACAGTTTTAATCTGCTTCTTTTAAAATACGCTTACTGAATTGGTTTAGCTTATTTAAGACATGTTTATCTGCAGTAGGTACCTCCCTTTGCCTCGTCAATTAGAATCAATCCAGATTACTTAGCCGTTGAGGCTAATGCTAACAGCTGGTTTTATACAGAGAGAGACCTAAGGGAACTTGACAATAAAGTCGATGAAAACACTACAACATGAAAAAAGCATCAAAGTGGTTCATGCAAACATATTTTATGAACTTTTAGAGTGTTTTTAAGCATGCATTTTGTGGTTATTTACATGAAATTAGTAGAAGAAAAATTATTCTACTGAGTAAAACGCAAAAGCAAGACAAACTGTGCAAATTGTTAAATAGACATATTTTTTCTTTTGAGTTGTTTAAAGTGACCAATTGTTGCCTATTTATGCTCAACAAAGATGTCAACATAGTTCTAATCTATAGGTAAGATATTGCTTATTTTCACAAAACGTTACTTAAAAATCCTGAGTTTTCTGTTCCAGTATTTTTATCATCTGTTTTCAAAAACAAAATAACTAATAAAACATTACAGTGAGTTTAAAGTTCAACAGCTAGGGGTGCTGCACAGATCATCCCTACAGTCAATGGCCAGAATGAAACACACCTCAGTTGTCACCCAGTAAGCTCTCACAGGACAAAAGGATAGACACGTGTGCCGGCGCCGCTCGCAGGCTTGGACTTAAAGCATTTTTATACATGAGTGCATACAAAGAATAAAGCCCCTGACAGCTTTGCATGCCGAAATCCTGGTCCTCCATACTCTGAGGTCACTCAACAGTATGTTCACACAGACACTGATTTGTAAAACCAGCTAGTTTGAAATCAGTAAAGATTAAAAGGTTGTTGCCTTTATTGACTCAGGGAAATCTGAATATTTTTTATGTGATCCCCACTTTTTTCTTACAGCAGTTTCCGCTTGCATCTCTTTAAACTGGACTCCAGGAATGGAAAGGAGCTATTAGTGGCACATTAATGGGTGGGTTTTTTTTGGCTAGCAGCTGTGCAAATGGCGTTGAAATGCGGTTGCTATTTGTTCTTTACCACCTTCCACGCCATCAGCTGTTCAGGATTGTTGCCACATTCACAGACTGCGATAAAAAAAGCTGCTCATGTTAAAGGGCTTCCTCTCTATCTAGGTATCCCATACATACCACTGTGGTTTCCTCTTCCTCTTTTAATGCAGACATTTTAAACCTTATTATAAATTATTATTGGGAGATAAAGTATAAGATTCTGCAGTAGTCCAGTAGTCAGACCAAATTGTAGCTTAATTTAAGCCAAGAAGACCAAATGGTCAAAAATTTCTGAAATACATTCACCTCATAAGTGCAATTAATGGAATATTCCGAAATTGCAAAAACCAGAACCATTTTCATGTGAATGATGAACAATGGGTTTTTTATGTAAGCAAAACAAAAAAATTATTTTGTGTTAAAGATGTTATTAGGAGAAGAAAATTTAATTGGTAAGGTAATTCAAAAAAGTAGAGAGACGTAGGAAGATATTTGAATTAAAATATCTTCCTTCTAATACACATTAGCAGCTCATTCAAGCTTTGGGAGAGCAAGACTTTCAATAGCAAACAGGAAGGGTCAAACAAGTACAGCAAAATTATCTATTTATCTGTTTTGATGGAAGCAGAAATCTTGGCAGCCCTTTAGAAATCCTAAAGTTGAGGTCAGAACTACATGTCTAGGAAAAAGACACCTTTAACAATGCTAAGTGGGCTAGATCCTATTGTGAGATGCTAAACCCAGTTCAAACTCTCAACTCAAATGAAATAGTTGTTTTTTATTTAAAAATTAGATCCTAACCCTTTTCTAAAGGGACTGTTTGCCTCTTCTAATTTATGACTGCTCGAAGCATATAGGTTTGAGTTCATCTTTTTCAGAGTTTTTTTTTTTATTTTCCCATTTTGATTTGTAAAATCAAATTCAGGTAGAAAAGCTTTAAAATTTCGCAACAATACTCTTAAGCAGTGCCTCATTCTAATGTTTACATTATTAATTTAGTAATTAAGGATAAGTAAAACTGTATTTGCTGGTGAAAAAAAAAAAAAAACACCTTTAAAACCAAACATTTATGTACAACCAAACATATTTTGCATTCAATAGAGATTAAATAAATCAAGTTTTCACAAAGTTTTTCATCAACACAGTTTTACAACTAATAAAAACACTATTATTTTGGAAATGATCTAGTGCATGTGTCATTAATCATAAATCTCTCAAAACATTTCATCTGTTTGTTTTAGATCTGTATTATCCATATTTAACCAATTAACTATTGTTATCCTAATAATATCTAAAATTTATTATAATTGAATGTGTACTTACTGAAGCACCATCCAGCTTTAATCACTGTGTTCCCTCCCTGTGTATCTCTGCCGTATAACCAACTGTTCAGGCTCCTACGATGTGTAGCTCAGACTGTCTCCTCTCTTCCTGTGAGCCGATGACTGAAGTCTCTCTAGTCCTGTGGTCTCGGTGACAGCTGATTTTTATCTGTCCCAGTGTGAGGACTTTGGCTATTTTGGGATAGTGGGCTGGCTGCTGCTACGGGCCTGACTCAGTCACCCCTGTTGGTTTCTGATAGACTGGGACACCCCATCCCCTCCCTTTCCCACAGCTGCATTGTCACCCACTATTATGGGCGCTGGGTGTGACCATTAGTCTGTCATTGGGTGCCTGGGGGGAGCATGTTGAAATAACACACAGGAAGTCACGGAAGGCTCTATTTTGGTGGTCGAGACAACAAAGCTTTCAACGGAGAGCGAGCCTTGCAAAAGTATTCCTGCTGTGTCAACTTTTTCACATTTTGTGATGTTAAACCCACAAGCATTAATGTATTTTATTTGTAACTTTTGAATAAAGTAATTTCTTTATGAAATCACCTTTGTTGGTGGATGACATGACTGTTGAATTCTCACACAGTATTATGGGATCTAAGGTACCCCATTGCAGCTCTGCCTGTATGTTTACAGTCACTGTCCAGGAAGAAAATCTTCCACCCTTTTCTCAAGTCTTTCTGACCTCAACAACTTTTCCCTCAGATTGTCCTATATCTAACTCCATTAATCTTCCTATTATCTTGTATACATCCTGCTTACCTGTTGACCAACAGAATTCCCACAGCATGATGCTACCACCACTGTGCTTCTGTGTGGGTACATTTTCTTCATAGTGATGTCTACTTCTACCTTTTGGTCACACGTATTTTTAACATAGTACACAACAAAATGTTGTACTTGTGTGATCAAATCACTTTTCTTTATTAGTTTGTTGAAACTAGTTTACTAGTCTGGTGATTTCACATTGAATAGTAGGAAGGCTAAACCTCTCTTGTAAGTTTGGTAAAATTAGTAAAATATGTATCAAACGTCATAAATGTAGTTATTTAACTTCATGAGATATGCAATGAAATATGCCTGATTTCATGAGTATGTTGTGCATTAATAAGATGTTTATTCTGCTCTCAGAAATGATCTCCCCTCAGCTCTAGAGCAGCAGGACACTGCTGGTCAGCCTCTATGAGAAATCCCTGTTGAGTTTTGAGCCTTGGTCTATTGAAGTAAGCTGTTAGAAAGTAGAGCAATGATTGGATAGCATGCCAAAATACATCGCTTCCAGTGAGGCTAAACCTCTTAGGGGGTCTATAGAGCATGGGCGGGTTGTAAAGCTGGCTGCTCGATGCTGAATGGCAAATATACTTAAGGATTTTTGACTGATAGTGGTCAGACAGTGAGGAGGTTTTCCTCACTCCTGAGTCGAAAAGGAGAAGTGATAATTAAGTCAGAACGGTCGTCTTGTACTGAACTCTTGCCGTGGTTTCTTGAGTTTATCATTTCAGAGCGCTTCACAACAGCTATTTTACCCCGTTGTAATGATGTGTTTTGTGTTTTAACATTTGTTAATGAAATACGTGACATTTGAATTTGATTAACACCAAAGAGCTTCCCTGTTTCAGAGACCAGCAGCCACCACTGGTTACATGTGCCCTCTTTATAGCAAACTTGTCACAAACTACAAATCAGACTTATACCTTATACTCATAGGGGGTTAAAACTCTGCTGAGTTGATAGGACTTGCTTAAGAAAGAGATGCCAGACTCAAATCATACTTGCAAAACTCTTTGGCTTAAGAGCATTTAGTTTCCATGGGGTTTTCTTTTTCTTTTTCATTGCCACATCCTTCAGAGGTTTTTGTCAAAATAACAAAAATCTAATGTTTATGATTTTCATTTGCTTTCAAGGCAACATTTGTATTCTTAAATTGATAATACTGAATGCACTCCCTTGTATTTGCATACTTAAAATCCAAATTAAATATACAGACTTTGGGATTCTATCAAAACAAGATGTAAAAATGGTTTTGATAACTGAATTTGGATTGATATTTCACCAGTTTTCAGTCTGATTTTAAATATGCACATTTCTGAAGGGACGGGGGTGCGGTGGTGGGAGTTGTTTTTAGACATTACCTCATACCTTAAAATGCTCACTCACCCATCGTCTTTCCCTTACTCATACTACAAAGATCACAGGGGGAAGACGTCAGAGAATCGAAGCAATATCAGTTCCCCTGCTTTACGGGGTCAAGGTTTGCATGACGGTCAGGGCCGTCAGCGATGGCCTCACTCCTATCTTAAGCTTGTGTCTAGAACACATAGCTATGTATTTACACCACAGAGTCCTTGTCTTTATTTAGCTCTTTTCCTTCCTCTGTGTAACAACACAGTGGTGCCTCCTCAAAACCCTTGGTTTAAGATTTACCCTGCAGTACTTTAAATGTCCCTAATATTGATTGTGATAAATTTAATTTAACCTTGACATAGATCTATTTGACATACTATACATTTGTGGATATTCAAGCGATGCTTTATGCACAAATATAGGTGTTTACCCGCATTTTTCTAAGAACTAAAAAGAAAAGATGAATAAACTGTAGAGACAGCTGGTTATGCAGTATGTGAATGAGTTCAGAGGGGATTCGGGCACTAATACCACCTGCCCTCTTATATGTCAGTGAGTATAAACACAAAGTGAAATGCCACTGCTCACCCTGTGTATGTCTGGATCTTGTGTTGTGACTCTCTGGGAGGCCATTTGTGGCCTTTCGTCCGTCCACCTGGGTTGTTCTCTGTGGATTGACAAGATGCTATTCAGTTAAATAGTTCAAACAAACTGTTCATGTTGCTATTAGGTTAATAATACAGTGTCCCATCTTCTCTGGTTGAGTGTAACTGTAAGGGTAACTGTAGTGGACAGCTCATAAAAAGTGAATATCTCTTTAATGCATTGGTTTCTCTGGTGGAACTGCATATCAGCGTCTAGAACACCTTCTGCTGCCGCCCTCTATCGAGTTCAATTCAGTGGTCAGTTATTATAACTGCAAGTAAATGTCTTCTGAATCCAAGATACCCAACAAATAGGCAACCCTGTCGACCACTGCTGGAAAATCCTCTCAATCCCTCTCTAGTAGAAGCCCCTAACAGGTGAAAAAAATATGATGATTCACAATACCATCTAAGGAAGCATATTATCAGTTTGAGATATAAAATTCTTTAATCCAATATGTAGAAAGTCACTATTAACCATGTGTCCAGGTAAGTGCACATCATGCATCACCCATTATATTTTTTTGGACAGAAGTTATAATTGCTCTACAGTGTCTTGTGATTGTTTTGATTATAACTCAGTGTTTTACTGTTACATGTATAAGCTAATCGCTTATAATTTACATTTTAGTATATTTTGTGTAACTTTACCAATTAATTATACAGTAAACTTTAAACACATCAAACAATAGGAAAGAATAGTTCAAGAAATTCTATCCAGTTCTAGCTGTCATGAGGAAAGAGAGTGTAGTGCCAGTGGTGCTGATGAGAGGCTACAAGAGTGAACTGATGATTGGCATGCAGACAATAAGGATAAAGAAAGTGAGGGTGATGAATGCCAGGATACAGAGGAAGGTCAGCATCAGGAAGCTTCAAATGATGGGCGCAGGGCACCTGACCATACTCAAACTTACAGAGGTAAAAAAATAAAAATAAAAAATGCAAACAGATGTCAAAATGGCACACAGAAGACCAAATCTGCATCCAATGCTGGGAGTCTTGGATGCCTTGAAATTTTTCCTAGAATTTAGGTGTGATGGCCATCAAGATGTTAGGTTATACAGAAACTAGAAATACAGTTAATGTTTTGATTTTGTTATACTGTCCTACATTCAGATAGAACTCTGAAGACCCACAGTGATGTTTCTTTTTTTGGAGATGATTGTTGCACATTTAGGTTAAAGATTTTTTTCAGGGTGTCATTGGTTTTCTCATTAAGTTTTAAATATTGGACCTACAGTAGGATGAAATTTGTTAAAATGTGCATAACTCCATAATATTTTATGTTGAGTACTCAGGTGCATATAATCCACTGCATTGGATATATCTGTGACTTTAAGGAAGAAGACTATCATTGAAGAAAAATAAGTTGACAATTTTTTATGTCCTAAGAAGAGTAAAAACACTTGAGAAATAATATTCACCATTGCTTTCATAATTCATGCATATAAGGGCTACAGAAGTGAAGAGCACAAACTAGTGACAGCAGAGATCGCCATTAAAAGATGTTGCTGCAATCTTGAGTCTGACCATTAGATGTCGCTGAAAATTATCCACTGTAGCTTTAAGATGGCAGATACTGTATATCTGGCAGATATTAAACAAAAATAATAGGCTGTGTTTTATAAAAAGAAAAAAAGTCACATGCTTTTTGATTGTATGACTCAAAATGGCTCTTTGGATATTAAAGGGTCAATAATGGCCACCTGATCATTATTGACATTACTGACAGAGTTATCATCACTTTGAGCACTTTGAGTGAAGATAACTGTGTTTACATACATACATATATACACATGCATACACAAACATACTTGTATATATATATATATATATATATATATATATATATATATATATATATATATACATACATAGATATTAAAGGGTCAATAATGGCCACCTGATCATTA